TTGTGACATGGCCAGATCGAAACAGATGACTGACTATTATAACAGGGGCTACTATGTCGTAATGAAATACCGTTGTGTGTACTTTTTGTGATATCTGCTGTAGGTTTTTTTATCATCACGACAAGTTACAATGACAAATGTCACGTACATGCCCCCGCATAGTTCATTCCATGACGATTTATAGAACAAAGTATTCAATTATGTTATAGGGAACAATGGATGTGGGTGACTTTAGAAAGGTTTTCGAAATTAACTACGAAAATCTACGAATGAATTATTTCAAGTAAGTATGCAACTACTTCATACATATTTCTGCATCATTAAGCATATATAGCTTGATCAACAGCACTCAAGTCGAGTGACAGGCAGTATTTGATCAAACAGATAATAATGAACAGTGATAGCTATTCAGAGACCTCGATTAATAATGATCTTGCAAAGGTCGGATCCCCGGTTGCAAGCGAGAAAATATTTGTGTTGATCACTACAAGGCGAGATTTTATATACCAATCCCAGTGATATGTTCTTTTGTAATAATAGCTTTGACCTGGATTCAACAGTTTAACACACATTACACACTACAAGGCGAGATTTTATACACCAATTCCAATGATATGTTCTTTTGTAATAACAGCTTTGACCCGGATCCAACAGTTCAACACACATTACACACTACAAGGCGAGATTTTATACACCAATTCCAATTATATGTTCTTTTGTAATAACAGCTTTGACCTGGATCCAACAGTTCAACACACATTACACACTACAAGGCGAGATTTTATACACCAATTCCAATGATATGTTCTTTTGTAATAACAGCTTTGACCCGGATCCAACAGTTCGACACACATTTTGGTCGTTGTGTTTTGGTTCTCTGATATCATATTTTGGACTGGCATTTAATCAGGCCACTGTACAACGGATCAGCTCTCTCAGAACATCAAAAGAGGCAAAAAAGTAAGGAGTCTTCCACTAAAATTGTTTCTTTCTGTATCGCTTACTATATCATTTTGATGATATCTTGTTAAATCTTGAACCTGTTTAACGCATTTTCCTGTATGACGCAAATTTGAGAAATTTCACCAAAATTTTCCTATTAAACCTCCTTAATGGTATTAATAAACAAAAATGGTTCTATCTCTATCTCATCTAATAATCATACTTACTGCATCCGGTCTAAAATACCTTGTTTTTCTTTCTAGAGTTCTCTATTTCGCTGGTCCGGTGTACTTTTTGTTTGGTGTCCTAGTTAATATTGAAGGACATGTCATGTTTGCCTACTTCAACTCTGTTAACTGTGATCCTGTCGAGGCTGGCATTATTAAAAACTCCAACCAGGTAAAAATATTTTTCACAATTTTTTCTTTCTTTCTTTTTCAAATAAAACAATTGGAATTGTGAGTGCAATGAGATTATGCAATGATCAATAATTTATAATTAAAGAAAACATTTCAAAGCCTGAACTCATTTTTGTATCTTTATACCAGTTACTACCATATATGGTGGTTAGGGTGTTCCATGACTTTCCCGGGCTCGCCGGACTATTTCTCGCCTCTTTGTTCGGTGCATCTTTAAGGTAAGATTTTTGGTAACCTGATATGACAAAAGAACCGTGTTAACTCCTTACCAAACATTATAAGTTGCGTGAATGGTATCCTTAATTATGCTCTGTAAAATGATCGATAACTTTCAGATCGGACATAGATTTTCAATGCGATTGTCACCAGGCATACATATTTACATTTCCTGAACAAAATTTGCCTTCATTCTCAAAAATCTTTTTTAGAATTTTTTCATGTCTTCTTAAATTATATTAATAATCTCGGCTTTTATGACATACCAATTACTTTTTTCCTGCTCCATTCGTAAAACGTAAATCGTTCTTAGTCTCAATTACGTTTTCAGATAATGTAAATTAATATAATATCAGAAAGTAATTGGTAAAATCATGTTCACATCCTGCATGATGTTACACTTTTGTTTTCAGCACGATATCATCAGGACTTAGTTCTCTTAGCGCTCAGACTGTTCAGGATTTCATTAAACCCCGTTATAAGGACATGTCTGACCGAAAAGCAACAGCCATAGCGAAGTTGGCAGGTATGGATGATCTGCAACAATGAGACATTTACGACAGGTTTATCGTATGTTAAAAACCCATTGCAGCCTTGTAAAAAATTGTTGGGTTTTTTTCATTTTTTATTGCAGTTGACAATTATTCCAGAAAAACAGTATTTTAGAAAGATTTCCTACTCTACACTCCCATATAGATATCAACAGTTATATCAATTGAATTACTTACTTCATCACTTGACTAAGTGATTGTAATAACTATCATTATTTTATTTAATCGTCTACTTGGTAGATTAGTATTAACAGCACTGAGATAGAAATCCCGAAAACAAAATCATAACAAAAACATTTGCACTTACTGTGTATTCAATTTTCCAGATCTTATGTGACATTAAGTTGTCTTAGATATGCCAGAAGTCTTCTAAAACATCGTACAACCAAAGTCGAAACAAACATGGACGAGAACGTGGACGAGTATGGTTTAAAACCGTACATTCGTATTCACTTCTCTTATATAATAACCCTCTCTCGTGTAGATACCTGTAGTAACAGTATACATCACAATGAGTTGTGTCGTGTAGATACCTGTAGTAACAGTATCCATCACAGTGAGTTGTGTCGTTTAGATACCTGTAGTAACAGTATCCATCACAATGAGTTGTGTCGTGTAGATACCTGTAGTAACAGTATCCATCACAATGAGTTGTGTCGTGTAGATACCTGTAGTAACAGTATCCATCACAATGAGTTGTGTCGTGTAGATACCTGTTGTAACAGTATCCATCACAGTGAGGTGTGTCTTGTAGACACCTCTTGTAGCAGTATCCATCACAATGAGTTGTGTCGTGTAGATACCTGTAGTAACAGTATCCATCACAATGAGTTGTGTCGTGTAGATACCTGTACTGTAGTAACAGTATCCACCACAATGCGTTGTGTCGTGTAGATACCTGTACTGTAGTAACAGTATCTCTCACAATGAGTTGTGTCGTGTAAATACCTGTCATAACAGTATCCATCACAATGAGATGTGTCGTGTAGATACCTGTAGTAACAGTATCCATCACAATGCGTTGTGTCGTGTAGATACCTGTACTGTAGTAACAGTATCTCTCACAATGAGTTGTGTCGTGTAAATACCTGTAGTAACAGTATCCGTCACAATGAGTTGTGTCGTGTAGATACCTGTAGTAACAGTATCCATCACAATGAGTTGTGTCGTGTAGATACCTGTAGTAACAGTATCCATCACAATGACTTGTGTCGTGTAGATACCTGTAGTAACAGTATCCATCACAATGTGTTGTGTGGGAGATAAAGTTCGCCTCTAGGAAAAACAAGAATACAAGAGATTTACAAAAAATAAGAAGTACGAGCAAGGCGTATGATCTACAGTGTATGACATATTTTGTGTGTGTTTGTGTATGGTTTTCAAACCTTTCAAACCATTATCACCAGAACAAATGCTGATAGGTTTTTCTATTAAGCTTTATTTGTATTCTGTTCGTTATTTCAGTGCTGATCTATGGCGGACTTTCCCTGGCAATCACAGCTATGATAGCGAAAGTACCGGGATCATTGAGTCAGGTTTGGATTGTAGTTGGTTTGTAGAATACAATATAACGAGATTTTGCTGGCTTATGAGCTCTATTAGATGCAAACATATTCTATACTTTATAAACGTAGAAGGTTCTTATTTTGTCTCGAATCTTCTTCAGTATTAAATAAACCAGTGCGTGAATAATTACGAATATCAAAGTGTATTATTTTTTTCACAATTCCTTGTCACACCTCATGTATTCGATATGATCATACAACGATAAAAGCATTTGCCTTACCAAAAAATAAGGCTTTACTTGTTAATCCAGTAATATGCCGACACATATCTCTCCTTACTTATTTCCAATGATAGAACGCACTAAAAGTATAAATAAATAAAAACAGGTTCGCTTCCAAATACAGTAAACGCCTCACATTTGGACATTACATGAATCAATGAACACTTCATTTCCTGACGCAGCGCCTGGGTGTTCATTTTCTAATGGTTTTTTTTACTGGTAGGATTTAGTTAAATCAAGTATTTTGCAACTAAATATATCAGAATCGAACCCCATCCTTGGTCACCCTGTAAAACATGACTTTGAGGAACAGCTTTTTATTGTCTTTATCGTCTTTATTTGTTTTATAACAGTTACAAGCACATCCCCTGATTGGCGAATCGTACACTGGTCGTAAGGCGGACACGATTCTAATGGTCACCTTTATGTTAAGAACACTATACTTTCGCCTCTCAGAACACAATTATTGTTTTGCTTCATACCATTCATTGATTGCATGCGTTTGAAAAATGGAATACAATTTTCTCAATAGCTGTTTTCTAATCACTTTTTTTATTTTTAACTTCGATAAGATAGTGGGAAAGAAATAATTTTGAAAAGCATGTTATTTCTTATTTCTGTTCACAATTTTCTTTTAATAGCCAAAAGTACTTACAGTTTGCCTTTGTCGAATATTTTCCAGATAACTAGCTCAATACTTTACTGTTTTGGAGGTCCAATTGCCGGAATGTTCTTACTATCAATTTTTTGCCCCTGGACTTCGAAAAAGGTAGGTCTGTTCTTCAGAGATCTGATTCCTGTTAATAACAACAGATATGACTTGCTAGTATTGCCTGAGCAGCAGGTATAGAAGACGCGTATCCATAATATTGTATCCTTATATATTTCTCTGGTTCCTCTTTAACCGAATACATTTCGTGCAAATAATCGCCAGGGCTTTAAACTCGTCATGGACACTGCTAGTGTGTTTCGCTATAAATCCACTGCAAAACATAATTGGTTTACAGTATCCTTATATGTGTAAACAATAACTATGTCACTTTCATTTTTTCATTAAAGGGATTCCTCATTGGTGGTATGATATCGATGCTGTTTGTCTTGTGGATATCTCTCGGATTAAACTTCTTCACGTCTACACCAAGCCAGCCCTGGCTGCCTCCAAACCCAACAGATAAATGTTTTGCTGACTCCGAACTTGCCACAAATCATACATTCATGAAAGATTATGGCCATTTCATCAATCTAACGACCTTTTCACATAACGATGTATCCTCGAGGATTGCAAAGTACCAACAAGAAATGGAAGTTTTCAATGCAATAGAACCGTATGTGTACATGATTAAGAGTATATTTTTAATCGTAAATGGTTAGGATATCCTTCATTTTCTACACCAAGGTCTTTGGTGTATGTCTGTGTTCTATGTGTATCTTGTCATAATTTGAAGCTCTTTCTTTAATGTTTGATAATAGTAAATGATTCGATTGTGATATAACGCATTTAGCTAATATAATCAAAGTGGTTTATTATGAATCATACAATTTTCATAAAGTATCAATTTCTTCAATATTGTGACAATTTGGGCCACATATTACATGTCCTGTTTGATTTGACGTAATGACCTTAATTCAGAATATAGTCTCAATTATATTTATTTCTTTGTAACATATTTTTTGAAGCTATGGTGATATTACGTTTTGAGGATTTAGCATGTGATATTTTATTTTATTTTCATGAAGGTAAACATTGTAGTTTGATTTTCGATCTGTACTGTTGAGAGTAAAACTGGATATTATGTCTCATAATTTGAAACCGTAGCAACATTGTTTATTCACTCAAATATTGTTGGTGCTCACTGCATATATTTGCATAAAATGTATCATGCTTTTTTTGCTGTAGTCAAGGCTTCGACAAGCTCTATTCGGTCTCTTTTCGCTGGTTTGGAGCTATTGGCGTTCTAATGACAATCCTCCTTGGTGCTCTTGTGAGTTATTTTACAGGTACGTTTTATTTCAATCTTAATATCAACCATTAGAATTGTAACAGCACGAAAGGTAGTGACTATTTCATCACATTCTATATCGCGAAGTTTTTTTAAAGAACTTATTATATACTATAGTATTAAATTAAGATATTTTCATTTAAAATATTGTGTCAAAACGTAATGGTGATGGTGGTGGTGGTGATTGTAGTGATTGTGGTGATGGTTGTGGAGGTGATGTGGTGATTGTGGTAGTGGTGGTTGTTTTAGAGGTGGTGGAGGTAGTGGTGGTTGTGGTGATGGTGGTTGTGCTGGTTATACTGGTGATGGTTGTGGTAGTATTGGTTGTGGTTGTGATGGAGGTGATTGTGGTGGTGGTGGTGGTTGTGTTGGAAGTGGTTGTAGTGGTAATTTAGTGGTGATAGTGGATGTCGTATTAGTGGTAATGGTTGTGTTTGAGGCGGTTGTAATGACAGGGGTGGTGGTGGTGTTGGTGGTTGTGTTGGAGGTAGCGGTGTTGGTGGTTGTGTTAGAGTTTGTAGTGGTGGTGTTGGTTGTGTTGGAGGTGGTGGTGATTCTGTTGGAAGTGGTAGTGATGCTGTTGGTGTTTGTGTTGGAGGTGGTGTTGGTGGTTGTGTTGGAGGTGAAAGTGGTGGTGGTAGTGGTTGTGTTGGATGTAATAGTGGTGGTGGTGGTGGTTGTGTTAGAGGTGGTAATGGTAGTGGTGGTTGTGTTGGAGGTGATAGTTGTGGTGGTGGTGGTTGTGTTGGAGGTGATAGTGGTGGTGGTGGTGGTTGTGTTGGTTGTTGTGTTGGAGATGGTAGCGGTGGTGGTGTTGGTGGTTGTGTTGGAGGTGGTAATGGTGACGGTGGTTGGGTTGGAGGTGTGTTAGCGGTACAATATTAAAAGGTGTTCTTGACACTTTGCTATTAATGGCTTTTTGTATGTTGCTTGTCCTATCCGCGTATGTTTCATAGTTTGTTGTCAATAGATGTTTTTAACGATTAGCTGTCCATAGCTGACTTTATCACGTTGATAATGACAGCATGTTGTCCATGGCTCGTACCCTGCTCATACAGATATGAGATCACATTCCACGTATATCATTATAAGGGAACAGGGCTAGGTGTGTCGCCAAATCCGTTGACCTTGTCCGTCGTTATCTATTATTAGCAAAAGATATTTTTAAAAAGGACGTGTAGTATAACCTCTTTGAATACATAACATAGGTAAAATTTGAGTTGAAAGAAACTAATTGATTTAGTTTTTAATATTTACATATGATGTTAAATCAGCATAGCACTAAATTTTCTAAAAGTTTAAATCTGATATATATACCCGGCGCCAATGAAAACGCAACACTAAAATTTTGGACATAATATATTCTTCACAACAAGGATTAGATTCTCATTCTGCTGTATTTAGCCACAACACAATGCACTACAAAACTAACGAAATAATGGTCGAGTAATATCAACTCCTTGTCGTACCACAGGGCATTGTCGTAAAAGCATGAGTTTGCACGTCGGCGCTCTAAAGTGCGTTATATCCTTGCTCAGTCACTACTAGTGAACACTTTAGTTACAGGCAGACATTTTCCCGTCATCATTTTTTTAAATTGTCATCATTATTTGCTACAAATGCCTCGACTGACAGACAATGAAAGACACGAAGCTCGGGGTATGCTGGCAGGAAGGCTTTCTCAGAGGGAAGTTGCCAGGAGAATGAGTTGTTCTGCTTACACAATCAATCGACTGGCAGAACGAGTGCGACAAACCGTATCCGTGAGAGATCGACCTCGTCCGGGGCGACAGAGAGTAACGACGCCAAACCAGGACCGTTACATTCGACTAAGCCACCTGCGAGATCGTTTTCAAACCGCGACAAGAACGGCTAGACAGACGATGGGAAGTCATGGCAGACGTTTGTCAGCTAGTACTGTGCGCCGTCGCCTTCGCACAGCCGGATTGGCGTCGTGCCGTCCATTTAGAGGAAACGAATTGACTCAAATTCGCCGTCAAAATCGTCTAAATTGGACAAGACAGCGCCGAGGATGGACCCAACGTCGGTGGGCTGGCGTCCTGTTCACCGACGAATCGAGATTCCGCCTTCGAGTGTGGCGACGTCGAGGTGAAAGGTTTTTGGACTGCTGTGTAACGGAAACGGATAGGTGGGGCGGGGGCAGTGTGATGGTGTGGGGAGGTATCTCTTTTGCATACCGTGCTCCTCTAGTAATTATTGACGGCAATCTAACAGCACAGCGCTACATCAACGAGGTCTTAACTCCTGCTGTTGTTCCATTCTTTGCTGGACACCCAAACGTAGCGTTATTACAACAGGACAATGCACGACCACATACCGCTTGTATCACTACAGACTACCTTCAACATCAGAACATCGCAACCCTTCCGTGGCCCGCGTTTTCCCCGGATCTTAGTCCGATCGAGCATCTTTGGGACCAAACGCGTCGGCAGCTTGAAATCGCTCTTCAAGAAGAGTGGAGGAACATTCCTCAAATCAAAATTCAACGCCTTATTCGGTCAATGCCTCGAAGATGCCGCGCTTGTGTCGCTGCAAATGGTGGCCACATTAGATATTGAACGTGGTAATTTTGATTTTGGGGGTATGGACATTAGTCACATGAAATCAAAGTCTTCCCATGATGTAGTGCTGATTGCATTGAGTGAATTTTGTCATGGATATAATCAGCTTTTAGGTATTTGATTAAATATTGTATTCAAAACTATAACTGGTAAATTTTGACAGTAATTTAAAGGTGTTGCGTTTTCATTGACGCCGAGTATATATATATATTGAGAGAGAGTTAGTAGGTTGTTAATTGTACATATAGAATCAATGCACGGGTGTTTTGTTCATTATTTCAGTGAAACAATATCAAAGCTGTAAAAAACATAATTTATCATTAAATTTTTCTGGTAAAAATTCACAGTATGTACACGGGTTAGTGTCTTGTGAAAAACTCTTGGTTTTAAGCAAAATACTAATTTTTGCTTCAATTTTTTCTAGATCATCCTACCGCAGATGAAGTAGACGTGAGATATATATTACCTCTTGGTGACCAACTGTTTCCATATCTTCCCAAAAAGGCACGCAGATATTTGGATTTCGGAGTCGACTTTAGAAAAGTACATATATTTTGTTTTTAAAATTATTGACATCATGTCAAAAAGAAAAAAAGAAAATTGTAAATCAAAACTTTTTTTAGAAAAGTTGACATAAACAGTTGGGTTTTAAAACGCATTATACATGTTTATAGAATTATGATTAAAAATGATTTGTCTATTTCCAGAGAAGCAGATGGCTACAGCAACAAAACGAAGAAATGTACCTGTCTGAAATCCTCGATATCGAGATAGACGAACTTAAAGAAAATAATACCAAATGAGAACTGAGGATAATGTTACACGGACTCATACTAATGTCAATGAAGTTGATCCGGCTATTAATCAAAAAGAAAAACATGAAAATACCAGAAAATTGTTAACTATGTTAAGAACATCATGCTCAATATTTACCCATTGATATATTTCACATTTATATACCAAAATAAAAAGGCGATTACAAGGTACAAGTTTATGTATAAAAACAGTGGACAAAGGAAAACACGAAACGAAAATCACTATAAACGGGAGGAAATCTTTACACCATTCAACTTTGATTCAGTTAAGTATAAAAAACATTTTTCATATATCGAACATTAACAATATGTTATAAAAAATGTATAAGGCTATATAATCTGTTGGAGTTCGCAAAACAAAGTGATATTTATTGATATTGTACAGCATGTTTTCACTGTGACTACCAAAGTCTCCAGGTTTAAAGAGCAAAAATAAACAAAACATAAAAAATGATGTTCTATGACGTCATATATATGCATATATACATTTTTTTTAATAAAATGCCTAATAAGTCAGAATTTGCTTCTTCATCAGATACATAATAATTCCTTTTTTTCGTTGTGCAGTATATTGTACTATGAAAGATAATGTTACAGTGAAATGGCTACAACATCACAATTATATAATGAGTTCAGCCGGTGACTGACTACACCATCACAATTATATAATGCGTTCAGCCGGTGAGGGACTACATCACAATTATATCATGAGTTCAGCCGGTGACTGACTACACCATCACAACTATATAATGCGTTTAGCCGGTGACGGACTACAACATCACAATCATTTAAGGAGTTCAGCCGGTGACTGACTTCAACATCACAATTATATAATGAGTTCAGCCGGTGACTGACTACAACATCACAATTATATAATGAGTTCAGCCGGTGACTAGGATATCACAATTAGATATTTTTTCAACAGATTCTTGACTATATATCATAGTTGTATCACTTGAACTACTTTCATTTGGCAACCGAGATCTAGAAATAATGTTTGATTGTGATTAGTAAACCATCATCATCACGGTATGTTTTCGTTCAAAACGGCAATTTAAGTAAACTAAATCGCTTGTGGACAAAACCCGTTTGTTTAGATCTATGATACAATGCATATGTATGAGAATAGAAATCAAGATGCACATGCAACTCTGGGGCAGTAAACGTAAAATGATTGGTTAAATAAACTTGTTAATTTAGTACAAATGTGATTTTTTTTTGAAAGCTTACTCTTCGGCGCGTTTGAATGGTAAAAAAAGTATAAATCAGCGCGCCAAACATTGACATATTGTATATATTTATGTGTGTGAAAATCGTTATAAAGCACTTTGCAGGCCATAAAGATTTGCTATGAGATGCAATATCGTCGCACCTTGGTAAAATATGTAAAAATGGAATTGACCCTGAACGATTTTATATATAGTATGTGAGGAAGACGTCAGTCGTCCTACAGGTATGCCTATGAGGCAGGCAGTCAGACCTTATTTATTTTCTCCTTTACGATATTTGGTACGTCAAAACAAGTTTTACAAAATGTATCTGAGCTCATATGCTAATATGATTTTGCATTTAATATTCACATAACTGCATTTTAAAATATACAAACCATAACAAAAAATATTCATTTAATCATCTTTCCTTCATATTATCGATTTTATATGTATACATTTAAATTTATAGATTAATTATAACAAACTTTCCATCTCATACACCATTCATTTGATATGTCTAGCCATGTTTATCATGTTTCCCACTCGATATCAGACAGATATGCATGTGAACGATCACCAAGTAAAAATCTATTTCGGTTTTCATTGCATAATGCGGAAAATTGCACATATGATATTACTTTTATTGAATTTATTATATTAATTATTTCCTCCTGGCTTAGATATAAACAAGGTTACTGTTTGATGTTTATTTGTTATATAGAGTTTATTCCCGGGTCGTCATGGATATCAGCATTTTTTTTTCAGTTCATTGCGTGTATTAAGTTTGTCTTTCCAGATTTATAGAAATTATATAAAAATTATTGACGAAACGTAATCCTGTAATACTAACTCATAAACTGCCATATATAGATTGGAATAGTCTAGTTATAGTCTAGCGAGGTCACCGAGTGCAGTCATGTGGGATAGATTTTTCTCCCACCTCTGCCCAAGTAGGATAGACATGTCCCATGTGGAACACCCATAGAGGATAAATCTATCCCACATGACTGCACTCGGTGACCTCGCTCGAGGGACAATTTTTTCTTTTGTACAAAGGGAGACAACTCCCGCGATCGTCTGTTCAAAAATCAAAATGGCTGAGACTGAGAGATTTCAAAACACTAACCCCTTCGCAAAAGAATAATAATTCCCAAACACAACAACACAGCAGCATATCCATGTGTTCTGATCCAACTGATGTTACACGGTCCATATTCTATGGATCCACAATTAGTGGAGGAAACTTTAACATTCAAATCCACAACCACATGTTTCCCACCACCACCGTGCCACAGGCTCCTGAAATAAATTTGACACGTCAAAGGCCTCGCGTTATTTACTACAGCGATAGTGACGAATAATTCTTCGGGCCAAATTTCAACTTGTTGTCTCGCTAGTGTGAATATGTCACGCATCTACCTGGCGATGAAAGACTCGAAATTCCTCGCCATGTGCACCGGTCGCGGTCGGCTACACTGAAGTGACAGGGAGAAAAACGACTGTTTATATATTAATGTGGTATATATAGCATATGTTGATCGATCTATTGATATATAATATCAGAAATACTATATTGTAAATGAATAATTGATAAATATCATTGATTTTTTTTACGATCTATATTATGTTGCGTAATAATTTACATGCAAACAGTGACGTCATGAAACGTGAATGGTGATATTCATGCGCCATTCAGGCACTTGTACCGTGGGATTTTTTTTTTTTTACGTCGTGGCGGAAATAATGGGGTGGGAGAAAAATAATCAAATCGTACCCTCAGAGGATGTAGCAGAGAAATCTCCAACCCTCGGGGTGCTTTTTTTGTAATCTAACCCTCGGCAGAGCCTCGGGTTAGACAACAACAAAAATCACCCCTCGGGTTGGAGATTTCTCTATCACACCTTCAGGGTAGGGGAAGATTCTATTAATATCACATATATACATGTAGCCTGTTATGTCCTGTCAGGACATAAATATCATAAGACATATTTGTAATAACACTATTGTGACGTCATAGATAAGTATCGACTTTATGACATCATATGATTATCTCGGAGGTGAAAAACTATATGTGCCGTCCGAATTGTAATAAGATTGTCTTATATCGAAATTAATTTAAGATTTTTCACTTGTGTTCATAAATATGGATTGTGTGATAAATAGAATATTTATCTGGTATCCGCGTGACATAAAATTGACTATACTCGTTTGATAAATGTATCTCACTCACTTAGTGAACTCGTTTAACAATTTCGATACTTCACCGACACTTATGAAAGTGAATTATGCCTTTTATTGAATCTATGGCTTGGACACTGTGTATTGACCTATATATTGACATAAGCAATGCACAAACAAGTTTCTAATAGCATAACAATCAAATTTTGAAATACATATTCGAAGGCACTGACAGTGAAAAAGTCTTTAAAAGGCAGAAACAAGTGGGTTTTGAAGCAGGTTATCATTCACTGAACAACATCCGGGAGGCACATAACATGTCATCTAAATTAGTCGTGATAAAATGTCTTACCCGGGGACACAACCAGTACAACACATTGTTCCGATTCTCAGCTTCCTGAGAAATACCATCAACAAATTTAGTATCGTGAGCGTCGAACCATATACCTTGGATAATCACCTGTGGTAATTTAGGCCAAATGTTCTACCGGCTGTTGTAAAATATGAAATTTGAGCGTTTTTAGGCTAAACGTACTCAGTAGGAATAGCCTATTGCGACGGCCGTTCAGACAAAGTTTACCGATCCTGGCCTTCTTATTGGCTGATATATCGAAAAGAGGTAGAGCCCTTTAGCGGCAATTTTCTGCATAAATAATGCCACGATCTTTCAAATCGCTGAGGAGATTCTTATCGGCTGCTGTGAACATTCCTAGAAAACAACCATATTTACCTTAAGTAAGCAAAAAATTGTTTCTTGTATCTTCAAAGTTTATTGTAACTGCATGACTTGATTTACAGTGTATTTACTGTATGGCGGGGCTTATGAATCCATGACGTAAGCGTACAGAACACTGTACGTGCGAGTTGGCGCCATGATAATAAGCTTGTCACGTTCGCATGTAATTATTTGTATAGATTTTGTCTATGATTCGTCTGTTCTTATACATAAGTCCGTATGGCCCGACAAAATAAGTTAAGGATCATAAATTGTGACCATAATATCTTTAAAAATTCAAATCCTGTATTGCCGGTAATTGCACTCGTAGTTTCTCCAATATGTACCTAGTCATGTCAAAGTGCCGTTCCGCTAGTTAATTATGGTGGTGTGAAAAACTGACTGGTCTATTACTACAGAGGAATCTTGCAGGTTTTGATTCTGTTACTTCTAAGCTAAAAAAAGTTGAATTTGGAAACATTTAATCAATTTGTAACGAAAACTTGAAAAAACTAATCATGCGAAGACATTTAAATGATATGGAAAGCCGCGCACTATAGGGCTCCTTCAAGCTTAGTAAGTATGTCTAAAACGGAAGTGCACGTGCGGAATTTGGCGAGCGTCACTACAGGTAAGGTATGCCGATATTAATGGCTGTGTAGTGTTTACCTGTAGTCAATTTTTCCGATTCTCATGGATACAGGCACGGAATACAGACTGTGGTGAGTAACTAATATTGTTACATCTCTTTCTCTTTACTAATTGTCTGTTAGAGTGTCTTATTTTCCGGGAAAAATGTATTTCTAATATATATATATCTTAGCGTGCGGTCCAATCAAGCGTAGCAATTGATTAGAGTTGTAAGCGTGTATGTTTTGTTGATATATTAATATTTCCATGTTTTGATCGCTGAAGTTTTAATATTATGTTTGTCATGTGTCATTTGTAGTATATAGTAGGGCTTAAATGATAACTTTTGAATTAATGTCCCTGTCCAGGTGAACGATAGTCCACTGAGTATCGCCGGTTTAAAAAAAAGTATGGAAGCCTTTAGTCGCCATATGCGTTACTTTGTTTGTCAAAATTATAGCGTAAGCATGGACCACCGCACGACTTTGCTTGAGAATCAAAGCAAATATTGTGTATTTATTCCCATATGGAATGAATAATTAGGTATTTAACGTATGTAGTGTACTTTGTATGGACGATATGTTGTCATTTTTGTGATGGTTATCGGAGTGAATGTTTGTGTGTATTGTTTGTTGTTTAAGCTTTCCATTCCGGAGTGAGAGTCTACAAATACGCCTATCTGGACCTGAGGAACCACAGCTTCAGCAACGGGGCCGGTCATAGACCTAGGTCAGCCACAGGAAGATTGTTGGTCGGTACAGTCGGGTCAAGGCACCGATGGCATTTTCATCGCCGTAGAGAATCTCCGTCGTAGGGAGACATGTCCTCAACTGTCGGGGATAGTTTGGAGCACACTATCTAGGTGGTAGAGCATACACTACGTCTCTGGTTTTGTATGTGGTGGGGAAGGCTTGGAATTCCCCCTGATAGACACCCGTGTGGAACTCTTGTTCACGGGAGCCTCAGCTGGGCTGCGGTTCAGCTGCTACCTTGTTTCTTGTTGTGTAAAGGACTTAGACGTATTCTGTGACCGTGTTGTGCCGTGCTGTGTTGGACGCCTTTTTGGAACTTTGTGTGCTTGTTAGAGGAAGTGAGAGTGAGTGTGGATGTGCTTTAGTGTGATTATATACTTGTATGTAATAAATTGTGATTGTTTTCTATACAATATTTTGAGTTCTTGCTTTCTTGCCGAAACATCTTAATCTGACGCTTGTCCTACGTTACAAAGCTAGTCTGGGGGATCGGTTTGAATTATCAACTAACAGCACTTATAAACAAACAAAACTTACAAACAGAACATCAATTTTGCTTTAATCCTTGTCATTGTGGCGAGATCGTCTTAATATATAACATCACTTTACCTCATTAGACGTCACAAAATTGGACTGTTCGTCCCACGCGTTTTCACACCCACCGTCATGACAATTTTTTCAAGTTTTTGAAGATAAAAAGTTTGCGCTTCGTAGGCAAAGGTACATTTGGTGCTCATGATTTATGAATAATATGTTTTTAATACTGCACTGATCATGATGTTGAATTTGTTATAACTTAAATTTTGTGTCTTTTAATTTTATTTGATGAAGGTTGATTGTGCTGATTTCTCAAGGTTTGTTAATGTGTATCAGAGTTCCTTGAAATGAAAATATTCCTTCAAACAAAGCGCGTATAAAACAAAACCCAAAATATTCATGTTTATAATTATCAATTAACTAGAACGAAATATTTCCTTAACATATTTATTCATTTTGCGTGTCATGGTGACATTATCTAATGCATTGGAGATCAGAAATAGTAGTAGCTACAGTGAAAATATTGTAAATTTTGTATATATATGGAAGTCTGGTTTAATCTCATAGAACTATGCCTTTATAGACATAATTACTGGAAGAAAAGTCTATCCATGATACTTCATGGAAGATAGGCATGTAAATACATTTGATGTAATTATTTACACTTTTATCTATCTGAAATGCTGTGTACACCTTATCTACTTTCCTCTACTACAAATATGATTATGATAAGTAAGGACTATTAGTTTGCAATATATTTAAAATAAAGAAGTAGGTATAAAGTCCTTTCGATTTGTCTAAATCCTCATATTCATAGGATAGCAATTGCAACACCTCAGGTATTTCGAAGGTTTTATTTAGTCAACTTCATCATATGGCTATTTATCATTTGGCTTGTTGGCGATGAATATATGGTTGTGTATTTTTTTTTAACCTATTTTGATTTGTTCACATTATTGTCGTCAATTTTGAAATAAGAATTAAAGAATACATAAAATCGCTTAAAATTAAGAAAAATAGCCTCTGGTTCTCTTATTTGAGTAATTTTTGCATTTCAAAGTGTAGGAGTATGGGGAGAGTAATATAGCTTAGCGATTATTTGTGAACATTTTCCAATACGTTTAGCCTCTCAGTACTTTCAGTACTTTGATTTCATCATGTTTTGCAAATAAATCTAAAGCAATTAACCAGACAATTTAGGATATCTAAACTTTATATGTATACAATTATCAAACAAATTGCCTTTGGTCAGTATTTTAGTATTGATTTTTTCATCAGATATTAACTATTAACCACGAACAAGGACTTGTGTAAAATGTACATTTGTTTCCAGTATGATAAAATTATTAGTATCTATATTAGGGATCGTTGTCAGTTGAGTTCCGGTAATGCTTATACATGAACAATAAGGGAAAAAAAGACATTTATCGTAGAAAATATTGAAACATGTAGTTCTCGTGATAGTTTAGTCAACATCATATATAAATGACAACGGAATTAGATTATTGAGACCTGGGAACACACTTTTTTCACATCAAGAAGAAGGAAAATAACTCGAAATCAGCACATTTACTACGTCTAGTGTAGTTAACATATTTTTTTTTAAAGTCTACCAAGGAACGAAAGTGAAAGTAGAATAAGTTCAAAGTCATTTATGCACACCATAATAATATCATGATTTTCATAAACTGGATTTAGAAGAAGAAGAAGAAGAAAGAAAGAAAGAAAGAAAAAAAGAAAAAAACATGGAAACCGAAAGTGAAAGTAACAGCACGTTGGGATTCCACGAAACATCCACGTAGCTACACGAGACGGAAAGCCCTATATGACGATAAGATTACACCATAGATACGTTTCATTACTCATCACAGACAGAGGAGACTCCACTGATACAGGTACGTATACTGATTACTACACTCTCCTGACCATCAAATAGACAAATCATGATACGAACTTTATTATTTGTCATCCTTTCTATAGACGTTCTATTGAGACGGACACCATTGACAACGTGTACTTGTACTCATAGAACCAGTTGCTATTGTAAGTCTGAAATATGACCTTCGTTCAGATTTTATGAAAACACGCGTGCATTTACACGAGATGCACATCATCCGTTAACTTTATTTGTCCAGTCCTTTTAATAACGTTATTGCGTTTTAGAATTTTATGAATCTGTTTTAACGACATATATTCTGAGAAGATGATGTTCGTATTTTTTTTATTTAGAAGGTAGAATGTTGATGTGCATAAATTAGTTTCTGACCTTGACATTAATTAGGCCCATATTTAAATCGATACGTGATAATATACGTACAGTAGGTCTTAAATTTGACATATTTTATTCATAGTTTATAAAACCTGCATTTATCTTGAAAATGATGGCTTAGCTAGAAAACCGCAGGTAAACTGTACGTGAAGTCTAAAGGTCACAGATCGCAACATTTTTTCGAAAGCGAGAGAGGTGTGCAGATTACGTAATCGAACGCACCAGGAAGTATCTGATAAAACCTACTTTCGGTTTCGTCTCTGCACTCATACGTGTATGTTATAACGCCCTGTTGACGTCACAGTTCACTCTCATGCTAAACACACAGAGGAAAATGCGAGGTATGCTACACCCCGACGCTGTTTCGTATATTTTCTGTGTCTATACTCTCAACTTCTACAAATTGAAATTTATTGAGGCGTACACAGTGTATATAGACAATATCTAAACATAATACAATCAGTTTTAATGAGAATTAATTGACTGCTCCTTTTTAATGAAATCAAAGTTGTGTTCCAGTGTTCCAATGTTGTTTAATGTGTCATTTTTGTACACATTTTTTTTAATCGAATCTTGATATTCGCACATGTTTGTATATCTTTGGATAGCTGCCATAGAGGATCATAACTATAAATAGGATAAAATAGCATGTCCCCGACCTTCAGACAGAGACACTTGAATAATTCAGATAGCGTTTTTGCTGTTTACAAATTGTATGACCAATGTACATGTGCATCGTGATTTAAAATTATTTTATAAAGATGATAAAATATCTCAGCAAAGATTTATTACATACACTTTTACATTATCATGTGCTCTAAGACATCTTAGAATAATCTAATAGGGGAAGTTGGTATTTATCATTTGAATTTGATCCATATCCATATGAATGACTTATATGATATACTGTTGAGGTGTTATGATATGTGTTAGGGATATTCTGTATAATATTACCTGTTAAGAACCGTTAATTATCCAATTAGCCAAGCCGTTCATGTTTGTTAAGTCAGGTACCTGCGGGAATTTGTTTACATAAGGTAATTACATGTGTTAGGGTCACGCTGATTGTGGTTTCATAATTATCAATGGATCAAACCACAACTGTTTCATCGCGGTACCAGTAACCAATAATCTTTCTGTAGAATATGATGTATATGTGTGTGGGGTATGATGTGTTGGTTAGGATATGATGTGTATGTGTTTGGGGTATGATGTATGTGTGTGAGGATATGATGTATGTGTATGAAGGATATGATGTATATGTGTTTGGGGTATAATGTATGTGTGTGGACTATGATAAGTATGTTAGGATATGATGTATATGTGTGTGGGGTATGATGTGTGTGTTAGGATATGATGTATATGTGTGTGGGGTATGATGTGTGTTGGGTATGATGTGTGTGTTTGGATATGATGTATATGTGTGTGGGGTATGATGTGTGTGCTAGGATATGATGTATATGTGTGTGGGGTATGATGTGTGTGTGTTAGGATATGATGTATATGTGTGTGGGGTATGATGTGTGTGTTAGGATATGATGTATATGTGTGTGGGGTATGATGTGTGTGTTAGGATATGATGTATATGTGTGTGGGGTATGATGTGTGTGTTAGGATATGATGTATATGTGTGTGGGGTATGATGTGTGTGTTAGGATATGATGTATATGTGTTTGGGGTATGATGTAAGTGTGTTGGGTATGATATGTGTGTTTGGATATGATGTATATGTGTGTGGGGTATGATGTGTGTGTTAGGATATGATGTATATGTGTGTGGGATATGATGTGTGTGTTAGGATATGATGTATATGTGTGTGGGGTATGATGTGTGTGTTAGGATATGATGTATATGTGTGTGGGGTATGATGTGTGTGTTAGGATATGATGTATATGTGTGTGGGGTATGATGTGTGTGTTAGGATATGATGTATATGTGTGTGGGGTATGATGTGTGTGTTAGGATATGATGTATATGTGTGTGGGGTATGATGTATGTGTGTGTGTTAGGATATGATGTATATGTGTGTGGGGTATGATGTGTGTGTTAGGATATGATGTATATGAGTGTGGGGTATGATGTGTGTGTTAGGATATGATGCATATGTGTGTGGGGTATGATGTGTTGGTTAGGATATGATGTGTATGTGTTTGGGGTATGATGTATGTGTGTTGGGTATGATGTGTGTGTTAGGATATGATGTATATGTGTGTGGGGTATGATGTATGTGTTAGGATATTATGTATATATGAGTGGGGTATGATGTGTGTGCTAGGATATGATGTATATGTGTGTGGGGTATGATGTATGTGTTAGGATATGATGTATATGTGTGTGTATGATGTATATGTGTGTGTGTGTGTGGATATGATGTATATGTGTGTGTGTGTGTGTTAGGATATGATGATATGCTAGGATATGATGTATATGTGTGTGGGGTATGATGTGTGTGTTAGGATATGATGTATATGTGTGTGGGGTATGATGTGTGTGCTAGGATATAATGTATATGAGTGTGGGATATGATGTTTGTGTTAGGATATGATGTATGTGTGTGTGGGGTATGATGTATGTGTTAAGATGTGATGTATAAGATTGGGGTATGATGTGTGTGTTGGGATATGATGTATGTGTGTGGTGTATGATGTGTGTGCTAGGATATGATGTATGTGTGTGGTGTATGATGTGTGTGTTAGGATATGATGTATATATGTGTGGGGTATGATGTGTGTGTGTTAGGATATGATGTATATGTGTGTGGGGTATGATGTGTGTGTGTGTTGGGTATGATGTGTGTGTTTGGATATGATGTATATATGTGTGGGGTATGATGTGTGTGTTAGGATATGATGTATATGTGTGGTGTATGATGTGTTGGTTAGGATAAGATGTATATGTGTGTGGGGTATGATGCATGTGTTAGGATATGATGTATATGTGTGTGTGTGTGTTAGGATATTATGTATATGTGTGTGGGGTATGATGTGTGTGTTAGGATATGATGTATATGTGTGTGGGGTATGATGTGTGTGTTAGGATATGATGTATATAAGTGTGGGGTGTGATGTGTGTGTTAGGATATGATGTATATGTGTGTGGGGTATGATGTATGTGTTAGGATATGATGTATATGTGTGTGGGGTATGATAAATATGTTAGGATATGATGTATATGTGTTTGGATATGATGTATATGTGTGTGGGGTATGATGTATATGTTAAGATGTGATGTATAAGATTGGGGTATGATGTGTGTGTTAGGATATGATGTATAGGATATGATGTATATGTGTGTGGGGTATGATGTGTGTGTTAGGATATGATGTATATGAGTGTGGGGTATGATGTGTGTGTTAGGATATGATGCATATGTGTGTGGGGTATGATGTATATGTGTTTGGATATTATGTATATGTGTGTGGGGTATGATGTATGTGTTAGGATATGATGTATATGTGTTTGGGGTATGATGTATGTGTGTGGGGTATGATGTGTGTGTTAGGATATGATGTATATGTGTGTGGGGTATGATGTGTGTGTTAGGATATGATGTATATGAGTGTGGGGTATGATGTGTGTGTTAGGATATGATGTATATGTGTGTGGGGTATGATGTGTGTGTTAGGATATGATGTATATGTGTGTGGGGTATGATGTGTGTGTTAGGATATGATGTATATGTGTGTGGGGTATGATGTGTGTGTTAGGATATGATGTATATGTGTGTGGGGTATGATGTGTGTGTTAGGATATGATGTATATGTGTGTGGGGTATGATGTGTGTGTTTGGATATGATGTATATGTGTGTGGGGTATGATGTGTGTGTTAGGATATGATGTATATGTGTGTATGTGTGTGGGATATGATGTGTGTGTGTTGGATATGTGTGGATATGATGTATATGTGTTTGGATATTATGTATATGTGTGTGGGGTATGATGTATATGTTAAGATGTGATGTATAAGATTGGGATATGATGTGTGTGTTAGGATATGATGTATATGTGTGTGGGGTATGATGTGTGTGTGTTAGGATATGATGTATATGTGTGTGGGGTATGATGTGTGTGTTAGGATATGATGTATATGAGTGTGGGATATGATGTTTGTGTTCGGATATGATGTATATGTGTGTGGGGTATGATGTGTGTGTTAGGATATGATGTATATGAGTGTGGGATATGATGTGTGTGTTAGGATATGATGTATGTGTGTGTGGGGTATGATGTGTGTGCTAGGATATGATGTATATGTGTGTGGGGTATGATGTGTGTGCTAGGATATGATGTATATGAGTGTGGGATATGATGTTTGTGTTAGGATATGATGAATATGTGTGTGGGGTATGATGTGTGTGCTAGGATATGATGTGTATATATGTGTGTGGGATATATGATGTGTGTGTATGATGTGTGTGTTAGGGATATGATGTGTGTGTTAGGATATGATGTATATGTGTGTGGGGTATGATGTGTGTGTTAGGATATGATGTATATGTGTGTGGGGTATGATGTGTGTGTTAGGATATGATGTATATGTGTGTGGGGTATGATGTGTGTGTGATATGATGTATATGTGTGATGTATATATGATGTGTGTATGATGTATATGTGTGTGTATGATGTGTGTGTTGATATGATGTATATGTGTGTGGGGTATGATGTGTGTGTTAGGATATGATGTATATGTGTGTGGGGTATGATGTGTGTGTTAGGATATGATGTATATGTGTGTGGGGTATGATGTGTGTGTTAGGATATGATGTATATGTGTGTGGGGTATGACATGTGTGCTAGGATATGATGTATATGTGTGTGGGGTATGATGTGTGTGTTAGGATATGATGTATATGTGTGTGGGGTATGATGTGTGTGTTAGGATATGATGTATATGAGTGTGGGGTATGATGTGTGTGTTAGGATATGATGATGGATATGTGTGTGGGGTATGATGTGTGTGTAGGATATGATGTATATATGATGTGTGTGTTAGGATATGATGCATATGTGTGTGGGGTATGATGTGTTGGTTAGGATATGATGTGTATGTGTGTGGGGTATGATTAATGTGTGTTGGGTATGATGTATGTGTTAGGATATGATGTATATGTGTGTGGGGTATGATAAGTATGTTAGGATATGATGTATATGTGTGTGGGGTATGATGTATGTGTTAGGATATTATGTATATGTGTGTGGGGTATGATGTGTGTGCGTATATATGTGGTATGATGTGTGTGTTAGGATATGATGTATATGTGTGTGGGGTATGATGTGTGTGTTAGGATATGATGTATATGTGTGTGGGGTATGATGTATGTGTTAGGATATGATGTATATGTGTGTGGGTATGATGTGTGTGTTTGGATATGAGGTATATGTTTGTGGGGTGTAATGTGTTTGTTAAGATATGATGTATATATGAGTGGGGTGTGATGTGTGTGTTAGGATATTATGTATATGTGTGTGGGGTATGATGTGTGTGTTAGGATATGTATATGTGTGTGTTAGGATATGATGTGTGTATGATGTGTGTGTTAGGATATGATGTATATGAGTGTGGAGTATGATGTGTGTGTTAGGATATGATTTGGATATGATGTATATGTGTGTGGGGTATGATGTGTGTGTTAGGATATGATGTATATGTGTGTGGGGTATGATGTGTGTGTTAGGATATGATGTATATGAGTGTGGGATATGATGTTTGTGTTAGGATATGATGTATGTGTGTGTGGGGTATGATGTGTGTGCTAGGATATGATGTATATGTGTGTGGGGTATGATGTGTGTGTTAGGATATGATGTATATGTGTGTGGGGTATGATGTGTGTGTTAGGATATGATGTATATGTGTGTGGGGTATGATGTGTTGGTTAGGATATGATGTATGTGTGTGGTGTATGATGTGTGTGTTAGGATATGATGTATATATGTGTGGGGTATGATATATGTGTTAGGATATGATGTATATGTGTGTGGGGTATGATGTGTGTGTTAGGATATGATGTATATGTGTGTGGGGTATGATGTGTGTGCTAGGATATGATGTATATGTGTGTGGGGTATGATGTGTGTGTTAGGATATGATGTATATGTGACATGTGTGTGTAGGTGCATTATATAGTTCAACATATTTGGGTATGATGTGTGTGAAAAATCTATTTTACAAAATCTTCCATGGTTAAAGGCGCAAAAAATGTAAATTATAAAGTACCGACCCCCAGTATCCTGATAGCAGGGCCAGAAAGGGTCTGATAGATTGAAACTTCTACTGAAGCTTTATTCTAAAATCCCAAATATGATAGAATCAAGTACTCATCATGGATAGAACGGCCTTCAGATGCTTTACCAAAATGGTGAAGTTCACGACCCCAGGATCTCACATTTCTCCTTGAGGAGAGGGTTAAGATTACTATATTTTATGTAGAAAAGTTACATTTTTGTATATTTTAAAAGTTAAAACTTGTTGTAATAATTAGTTTAAGATGAAAGTTAAACAAGATGCACATACTGATCTCGACTGACCCCAGGGGCTGTTGGGCAGGGCCAAGATTGGTCAAATTTACTGATGATTAACAAATCTTCTCAATACCTAGAGAATGTAAAACCAAATACTTTTCTTGGTTGGAAGTTTCATACGTGCTTTATAACAATTGTAAATTTCATGACCCCAGGATCTCGCATTTCCCCTTAGGGAGGGGGTAAACTTGACTCAATTTAATGCACACATTGAGCATAATTTGTTAATTTTCTTTCAGAATTTTTTTAAAATTTGGTTCAAATGTTTGTTTTCTTTTTCATAAGCTGATAGGTTGATGAGAGGCACATATTGACCTTGACTGACCCACATGTGCGATGGGCGGGGCCAATATGGGTCAACTTGATAGAAATTTCAAAGATGTTCAACTGTTCCCTGGATGGCAGATTTTAAATAGGAAAATCGAAATCTTGAGTGTGATTCCTTTAATTCAAACTTAGTTAGAAGCCTACACATGGGACAGCAGTTAATGCAGACACAATTTACATTTGCATTATGTTGTACAATATAGTTAAAGTTGTATAACTTTTTAACCAACTGTTACAAGAAGCATTGTGACTCAGGTAACCATTATGGCCCTTAAGACTCTTGTGATATTGAGTTTTACACTGATATCCTTTTAACTTGATAGGCATGATAACCATTACATAAATTGTGTTTTCCCAAATTACACTGATACATTTTTACCCCTCCCCCCAACTCCCCACACCCCCAAAAACCTTTGTGTGCGTTCAGATTTCTCCTCCTTTAGTTTTTTATGATTGTAATTTCATTTCTTTGATTTTTTAAAAAAAATTATGAACGGCTTACTGCTTTCACCATATTTTAAAAAATTATTATCCTTTGTTCACTTCCATATTTGTATCATTTTCTATCCAGTAAATAAATTTTGCCATGGAACAGACCAATTTTGTTTTGTTGTTTCGCCCTGGGGAAATGCTTTTATTTGATATATGTAAGATTCCTAGGTTACTGGCAATCAGGTTTGCGAAAATGAATTACCTTCACTAACTTTTAAAATCATCAGTGTCAAATATCTTGACAAGGTCTACAGTATCGAATGCCTTAACAAGGTCTAAAGTCCTGGTATTTGGTATATCTATATACATACTCTGATCATTTGCAATCAAATTGTGAAAATGGTTGACCTGTACGAGGTGAAGATAAGTGAAAAACTGTCAAACAGTGCCACCAATTTCCATTTTACATTGCTGTCATTTTCTTCAAACATTCGTTATACGCGACCATTTAAGATGAACCGGTTTGTTATCATTTTAGAAGAAGTACTGAATGAATCATTCTTATGTCTGATATTAAATTTCCACCTTTTATGTAGATGCCTTTTAGAAAATTTGACAAGACATTTTACAGAATTGTTTGGCCCTTTACACATGAACGTCTGTAACGTTTGCTTTTCTGGCAATTTTTCACCTTTTTAGGTCATCCTGTTAACCCATTGCGATCTTGCGATCAGCTTTTGTCCAGTGTCATGTAAGAGCGTAAACAATTGTGAATTTTATCAGCATTTCCTCCTTTAGAGCATTCTTCCATACATGGTTAGAATTGTAGAACTGCAAGAATAGGACGACTGTTTGATAGTATGCAAATATTGCATTTGGATTAAGAAATGACTAAATCAAACCAGTCAAGCGATCTAGGCCGTATGGGCCTCTTATTCAAAACACCCTACCTTGATAACTGTGGAGGGGTCACAGCATAATTTTAATAAAGTAGTCACCTATTTCCGTACTTATTTATAAATGATCATGTATTTCCACAGTGCAACATATGAAAATATTTCTACTACCATTATGAACTGCTTTGACATTGCGAATCGCTTCATGTACTTTCAGATGATGTCAAGATGATTCACTCTATATCTTCCTCTTGACGCAACATTCCTCGGTCAGCTGGAGTTTTAAAATTTGCAACTGAAGAATGGACGACGACCAAGAAGGTGCTAGACAAAGGGATAGAAGGGGAGACGGAGGTGGAAGGGGTGGTGGTAGAGGCGATAGGGGAGACGGGAATAGACGGGTACGTCGAGGAGACTTAAATCGAGGGAGGGGTCGTGATGATCGTCAGGCAAGAGCTCCGCGACCCTGGAGGACACGTCTTGGCTTCAAAAGACTAAACGAATTACAACACAAGGAGCCTTCTGATATTCTTATAACAATTGCCCACTCCGATAGTGGCCTTCAGGAGGGTTTGAATGACGCAACACTGAGCAACGATTTCATCTCTCTTTTCCTCAGGTGCATAGCTAAGGCATGTAGATGTCAGTCGTCTCCAGCAAAGGTTATACAGCTTTTAACGTGTATACTTAACTCAACTTTTATCAATTGCACATTGCCTACATTCATGTCAAGAATGATCTTGGAAAAATCTCCTGTCAGACAACTTGAATTCAGAGCACCTCTTCACGATACTATATTCATCATGTCGGAGATCGCCCGGCGAAGCCCAAGCTCAATAACATCAGTATTTGGTGTTATGGGAGTAATGCAGTCGGTTTTGAATACTCTGCGTGCGACCACTGACATCATAGAAGATGATTTATGGAAGGATTTCAACGAATGTTGTATGCTGAGAGACCATATGCTTGCAGAGGCACAGGTGAAATCAAGGAAAAGAGAGCAAACATCTTCTAGGCATGATGACGACAAGCCTCCCGATAACTTCCGTGAAATTTCGGTGTTTCCAGAAAAATCTGATGTACAGAATGAAGAAGGTCCGTTTTTGCGTAGGAACAAAATAAAAGGAGGTTTTCAAAACCTGGATCACTATCTAGATGTTCAGTTTAGGCTCCTAAGAGAGGACTTCGTCGGTCCTCTGCGTGATGGAATCAATGGTTACATAGCTGCAGTGCAGACAGGGAAATCGAAGCGCTCACAAGAAATGAGAGTTTATTACGACGTCCAGGTGATATGTCCAATCGGAGCTAGCAATGGATTGTGCCATCGAATTTCTTTTGACGTCAGTAGGATGCAGCGAGTGAACTGGGAGTCAAGCAAACGTCTAATCTTTGGATCTCTAGTTTGTTTTTCGAGTGATAACTTCAGGACTTTATTGTTTGCAACTGTTGCCGAACGTGACCCAAAAAAACTCAAAGAGGGAATTTTGGATGTGAAGTTTGAAGGTGTTAGCAACAGAACTGTCAATCTTCATTTCAACAAGAAATATGTTATGGCAGAAACAGTAGCATATTTTGAAGCCTATCGACACGTTCTGAAAGGTCTGCAAAAAATCGACGAAGGCGACCTTCCCTTTGAAAAGTACATTATCAAATGCAACACAAAAATGCAAGCTCCTCTTTACTTGAGGCAAAACGACCGCTTGACACTGGACATGCGTCCACTCGTAGATGAAGGATTCATTATAAGTAGTGTTAGGCAACACGAACTACGAAATTTAAATAAAGAATTCAGCGAAAGAGCGGCTGTGGCAAAGTCGGTTGAAGTAAACGGTGTATGGCCTAGCGCGGAGCTGTTGCATCTCGATCAGTCCCAATACAAAGCTGTCAAGCGGGCTTTGACTAGCGAATTTGTTCTCACCCAAGGGCCTCCAGGAACAGGCAAAACCTACATCGGGTTAAAGATAGTGAAAGCGCTGCTTCACAACCATTCTATTTGGAATACGAATCCTGACACACACCAGGAAGATCATAGGCCAATGCTGGTAGTCTGTTATACCAACCACGCCCTCGATCAGTTCATAGAAGGCATATGCGATTTTTTCAAAGGATCAATACTCCGAGTCGGTGGAAGAAGTACAAGTGAAGCTATGAAAAAGTACAATTTAAATAGTATGCGTTCGAGGATACGGGAACTACGAGAGGTCCCAGATGAAATACATCGTGGAAGAATGAACGCAAGAAACCAGATGAAAGACCTCCAACACGAGATAAACAGAATATCAAGTTCCTTAGAAATCGCCAGCCGAGAGGTTTTGAACGAAGATGTATTGGAATCATTTATGGGCAGATTTTATGCAGATATTTCTGAAACCAGAGCCGCTTATTTTGACGATGGTTTTCAAACACAACAGAGAAAGACGCGCGCCGCTATACTGGACTGGCTGAATATAGATACTCTTACAATCGGTGAGGAAGAACAGAACCTTGACTTGAGGGAAGGTCTAGATGCAGCCGCAGAAGTTCCAAACCAAGATCATGCACAATTCCACGCCGGTGATGCGCAACAACCCGAACATCAAGACGATCCCAATGATGAGGATGATGAATTAGTAGATGTTCTAGATGAAGTAGATGCCATGGTTGCTCAAAGAGAAATAGATGAATACTTGGATGATGGTTATGATGTGGAGATGGAAAAGGCAGAGGTTGTTATGCTTAAGATGCAATTAAGTAAAAACTCTGTTGCACTTAATGTAACAAACCTAGAAGAAAAAGATACAAATCATGACGACGGTTGGCAGATGACGAAAAAACAGAAGAAAGCACTTAAAAGACGTCTGCGAAGAGAACTAGGATCGGAAGACAGGATGGACGAAGCAGAAATCGAGAGGATTTATGACGTTTGGGAATTAAGCCAGAAAGACAAATGGCGATTATACAGGTATTGGGTGAACAAGTTCTCCGAAAAGATGAGAGATAAGATCAGATTAACGGTTCGCGAATACCAGTCTATTTGTGATCAGCATCAGGAAGTCTTAATGCAAGAGGACAAGGGGATAATCAGAAAGGCAACGGTAGTAGGAATGACTACCACAGGAGCAGCAAAGTATCAGGCGGTACTTCAGGAAATAGGGCCAAGGGTGATAGTGGTTGAGGAAGCAGCTGAGGTCCTTGAGGCGCACGTGATCACAACACTCAGCAGGGACTGTCAACACCTGATCCTGATTGGAGACCACAAACAACTTCGACCGAACCCGACAGTATACAAGCTAGCTAAGGAATACAACTTAGATTTGTCTTTGTTTGAAAGGATGATAAAAAATGACATTGACCTGGATTGCCTAGAACTACAACACAGGATGCGTCCGGAAATTTCAAAGATCATGACTTTGATATATCCGGAGCTGAAAGATCACGACATTGTCAGGACGTATGATAACATTAAAGGAACCGCAACTAATGCATTCTTCATTAACCATAGTTTTCGAGAACAAGAAGACGTCGATCTAAAGAGCCATTCAAACATTCATGAGGCCAAGTATATTGCAGGACTTTGCAAGTACTTTTTGTTACAAGGATACGAACCAGACCAAATCACAATTCTCACACTATACTCTGGACAGCTCTTCACCATTAGAAAGGAAATGCCGAAGCAAATTTTCAGTGGGGTTCGCATTACTGTTGTCGACAACTTCCAAGGCGAGGAGAACGACATTGTTCTACTTTCACTTGTCAGAAGCAACAGTGATGGAAAAATAGGCTTTTTAAAAATCGACAACCGCGTGTGTGTTGCATTGTCTCGGGCAAAGAAGGGCATGTTTGTTATAGGAAACATGGACATTATGGCACAAGGGAGTAGGTTGTGGAAACACATTGTCTCTCATGCACAGAAGGAGAGGATGATAGGTGAAGGTCTGAAGCTAATTTGCCAAAATCATCCAGAAGACGGAGGGATGATAGCTAGAGTATCTGAAGACTTCCAAAAGGCTCCCGAGGGTGGATGTATGAAGCCGTGTCAGTTCCGACTCGAATGTGGTCATACATGCAGCATGGTATGTCATGTTCTTGATCAAAAACATGAAAAAATTCAATGCAGAAAACGCTGTGAACGGATTATTTGTGATAACAAACATAAATGCAATAAACTTTGCTACCAGAAATGTGGCGAATGTCACGTTTTAGTTCAGAAAAAAATACCGCAGTGTGGCCACAAGCAAGACATTCCCTGCCACATAGATCCTGCCTATTTTCGTTGTAAGGAAAGGTGTTCGAAAATCTTGTTGTGTGGACACAGATGTGCGGAAACATGTGGTGAGGATCACACAACAAAATGCCAGGAATATGTCCAAAAGATATGGCCATCTTGTAGGCACGTTGGAATGGTAAAATGTTTCCAGAAGGACATTACAAAATGTGTTGAGGGATGTCAAGATGTCCTGGAGTGTGATCATCTATGTGCAGGAAGCTGTGGATCATGCAGTCATGGAAGACTTCACAAAGCTTGCACAAAGCAGTGCGGCCGAACATTAATTTGCGGTCACCTTTGCACTGATCGATGTTCTAGGTGTCCACCATGCGTCAAAAGATGCGAAAATCGTTGCATTCATAGCAGGTGCAACAACCGTTGCGGAGAACCCTGTGTACCTTGTAACGAACCATGTGAGTGGACCTGTAAACATTTCACTTGCACAAAGCTGTGTTGTGAGCCTTGTGAGCGACCCCGTTGTAATAAATCTTGCAAAAATAAGCTGAAATGCGGGCATAAATGCATAGGAATGTGTGGGGAAAAATGTCCATCACTTTGCAGGGTTTGTAACAGGGATATTGTGACAGAAATATTCTTCGGAGATGAAGATGAACCTGATGCTAGGTTTATACAGCTGGAGGACTGCGGTCACGTAATCGAAGTCAATGCCATGGACACATACATGGATCAGGATTCTTCTGATGAAATAAGCGAAATCATATTCAAAGGCTGTCCCAAGTGCAAAACTCCTATTCGGAAAAATTTACGATACGGAAACGCCATCAAGCAAACCTTGCATAACATAGAACAAGTCAAACGAAAATTGCTCGGGGACGAACAAAGGATCAAAGACCTATTGGAGGAAACTCCATATGAAATCGAGCAGTTAGAAGAAAGAGATAAAATTCTGCTGATGAAAAGATTTGAGGAAATACTTCAAGAAAAGGATATTTCAAGTCGACACCGAATAAAACCGCATTCAGTCATGAAATTGTCCGAAGAAACACTCTTAACGGTCAAGAATCAGGCAACATTTCTCGAAAGAATCAAAGAAATGAAAAAAAAGAATAGAGCTGTCGTGGTGTCCTCCGAGTCGAATGACATATTCGAGGAGGCGAAGGAACACCTTGAGCAACTTCGGCTTTGGATATTGAACCCAAGGTCGTATTTTACCCAGCAAGAGTCCTTGGACGTTACAGATGAAATATGCAGACTAAGAGATCTCAGAAACTTTCTATTGTATAAAACACAGGTTAGTAATAGAAAAATGATCTTGGATGGTGACTTAGTTAGAAGAATGCGTGTCGCAGAAGTAATGCTCACCGATGGAAAAAAGTTTACTGAGGAAAAACAGAAGAAAGTTAAACGCACCTTGCAAATGCTTAAAGACGTTGTCCCTGGAACTGGGCTTGGTATTTCAGAGGAGGAACGGATTCAAATCATCCAGGCAATGGGTATGGGGAATGGACACTGGTTCAAATGCCCGAACGGTAATTATTTTAATCACATTTGCACACTGGTTGACGTGCGATAGATATTTTTTTCATAATACAAGCTATACATAGAAATATATTAAAATCGGTTTAGAAATGCGGATAACGTTTGAACTGACAATATTAATCCTCTGATAAATACTTATTAAAGAAAAAATATGATAAGCATTAAATAACGTACTGTCGGCTCGAAATTGCAATATAAAATGTATGTGACTACTTTGATTGTCTCATTACAGGACATGTGTATGCTATTGGTGATTGTGGCGGTGCAACCATAGAGGGACGTTGTCCAGAATGCAATGCGACAATCGGAGGAAGTAGGCACACCTTAAGATCGGATAATGCGCTCGCACCAGAAATGGACGGTGCAGCTGTTCCAGCCTGGCCAACCGCACTTGTTCATAATATAGAAAATTTCCATATAAACTAGTGACCAATCAATCAATTTGGATCACAAATTACTTTTTAAGACATGGAAGTCAAACATTACACTACTCGTGTTCAGATTCTTTTTATGAATGTATTTTTTTAATTGTTTAAATGTGTCATGACTTTATGATTTATTCTTGAAGAAATTGGTAATGAAAAAGGATTTTGAAACATGAGTTCACTGTACGAATAAGTTCCTTTTATTTACCGATGTGCATCTGTCCACCAATAAGTCAAGGAACCTGTTCATACCTCAAACATGTAGTCTTGTTTTTTTGTGGATTTTGTAGATAAACAATTTATTCGAGTGTTATTCATTAGATAGATTGTACATTGTATAATTTATTTCATGATATGACATATGTGCTTTTACTTCAGTCATAAGTTTAAATATTTTGTACATGACCATATTCCTTTGTCTTATTTTCGAGAAGACTTTGAAATGTAAATGTTTTCTTATTGTGTACATGGAATGTAAATATAAAGAAAATCCAGATAATTATATTATACTGTAAAACATGTCGTGGCGATTGTAATTTCATTGGATTCGTGGATATTTATGATGCACAAATCGATATGTTGAGGAAATGATAAACAGTTAAAAATTAACATATATTTAAGTACTAGGCGACATCATGGGTACTAAGTTCCCACGAAATCAAATGACAACAAAATAGTATTTGCTTGAAGAACCACGAAATTTAAGCCCCACGATATTATCCGAATTTACTGTCCCTAATAAATATATATTTGAAGACTTATGAGAAATGAGAATGAGGTTTAACTGTTAAAATAAAGTGTGAACCATAATATATCATTTCGAAAATGTATCAAAATTATCATATTAGTAAAATATCATATTTTGTATTTGGCAAAATAAGAATATGAGTTATATCCAAAATCTTATCGTCATTATGCCCAAAGGAAGGTTACATGTTAACACAGAAGAAATGCATGTTGCCTCAGGTAATTATGTCAATTAAATGGTACCAATGTTATATCATTATATCTAGTATGTTGACAAGATAGACACTACATAACAACTTGTGTCTTAGAAACAATAAGGTGGCAACAAGCTACATTGTTTACATGAAACTAAAAATCATTATTCATGTTTGTTGAAATATATACAGAATACATAACCTGTCATTTAAACAATTTTATTACCCGAGCTTGTATTACACACCAATATACGAGAAACGTTTGTCGATGTTTAATATTCGCTCATTTTACCCTGCCGCTACTAGGGCGATTAGCCTTAGATTTGTTGTTAAAGCTTGATGATGTTTTTATTCAGCGAATTTTAGACTTGGCAAAACCGTTTTCTATCAGAGCGAACTAAACATGGATAGATAGTTTCCCTTTCAATTATATTTCTGTGTTTCCCGATTTTCTCTGAAAACTCAAATCGTTGTTATGATCTAACGAATATATTTATATTTTGAAAATGTGGTGAATTCTCCGTGCCCAGTAAATATAGAAAAAAGTTTAAACACTGGAAAAACACATGATGTAAAACATAAGCGCTTTCTTTTCTTTTTCGGATGTTTTACATATTTGCATAGATAATCATTCATAACTATTGAACGGTATTCATGACGTCACAATCCGTATCTATGTAAATATATTAAACATCTGAAAAAGAAAAGAAAGCGCTTATGTTTTACATCATGTGTTTTCAAGTGTTTTAACTTTTTTTCTATATTTCTGGATACTCCAATACTATAGTAATTACTGATTTTGTTTATGAAATCATTATTGAAAACTCAAAATCACCTTCATAACTAAGAGAAATGTTTAAATACTTCATATTTACCATGATAAGTGTGATAGCAGATGTAGTAATGGAAATAAACGGATTCAGGATAATCATACTTTTTCCCAAAATCTGAGGGATAAGCTTAAATGGTTGGTTGTTAGAGTGTGAATGTTGTTTCAACGTTATGGTACATAATGTTGTATATTGTTCAGTTTTTTATCCTTTCTTCTTAAGACATTAGTCTATGTTGCATAAAATTCAATATTAAAACTGTTGATAAAATATCTGGACAACTCATCATCATGATTTTATTAAAAGTTTATTTGATGGAATTCAAAACTTTACTCGAGCTTAATCTTCCATTTTTGATGACATGCTATCTTTGTCGTGGCGATCTGTATTAAAATCTGGTTATACTACAAAAACTTCTAAACTATAAACATTGCCAACCTGAAAAAAATGTTCCAACTTATTAAATCAATTTATACCACCTGACCATTATTGTTTTGACGAGTTGTTTTGCAAAAGAAAAAAGATAAAAAAAAAACCCAATTCATTTGAGATGCATTTTGAAGTTTTGATGATGTTTAAGTGTGTTTATTTTTAATTAGCTGTATTAAAATGATTTCATCAGTATTTTGAAGAATATGTTATAATTTAGAAAACGTAAGTGTGATTTATTGCCTCATTGACACGAAAATAATTAGGAAATTAAGTATATCACACACGTCAGAAGTAGAATTATGGAATGGAAGTACGAATGTCATTGATATCTTAGCCAAACTGCATAAAGTGCCGGTGAATATTTGATTTGGTGGCGAATACGCTGTCTTCCTGTCAGTCAACTTTAATCTAAACGACTGCATGCATCAGCTTCTAACAACTGATATTTTGCCAAGTGGTACCCTCAGAATAATGTCCATCATCCATTTTCAAGGTCACGTGAATCAAACATGTTAACATTTTCCAGAATTGCCAGGGTACTGTTTGTTAGATTGAATACTTCACCTTTTACCAAATAAATCAACCTTGAAGTATTTTTAAGATCATAGCGCTAAAAATTTTTTTTTTCAAAAAGTTTAAGAATATTCTCAGGTTACAGAAGACATAGGTACTAATATTGGGCCAACATTTGAGTGCCGCAAATTGTCTCCATCAATTTACCTTGACCTATTTTCAAGGTTGTGGATGCCAAAGAGGTTAACAAAAGTAACTATTTTTAGTTCCGTAGTTCCAGAAGTCTTACATGCTGATATATGGATGGTAGATACTTTGGATGGAATGCTGTTACGTTTCCGTTTACATCATCTAAGTCACCGGGTCAGATATGTAAAAATTTAATCAAGAAGACTAAATATCAAGTCAATGTCATAGGAATAAAACACATTTAACACTTTAGATATCGTCTCTATGTCCAAATGGTAGAGAATACTGATTTTGGGCCTGTAACATGGTAGATATATGTTTATTGGCTATCAATCTTGATCACATTGATGATCTTGTCAAAAGTTCAAGGTAAAACGCATCAGTTTTGATAAAAAAACGTCTCAATAAGCGGACCATGTTACTAGCATTTGACCATAATAGACGTGTAAACAGCATTACGTGACAGAGAACCTCTTGTTACTCAAATATTCATATTTCCCGATGGTACTCAAATAATGAAATGACGTGCAATTCGTTCCTTGAATCATTTGTAAAAGAGATTTACACTGTAACATACTAAAGAGTACCAAATAATTGTCTATTAAACAATTAGAATAGTATAGCAAATACATGTGCACACGTGGCATGACTGCATTCATGTCTCTGGTTTTAAAAAGACAAGATGACTGACTCATCACTGGTTTTATAAGCACACATCTTCGATTTGATATGATAAATGGAAATTAAACATTGGTGATAGAATTGAACAAGTTTGAATGTTGTAATAATGCTCTACCTTCAAGAAAGCTGAGGAAGAACTACATTTAAAAAAACTATAGAATAATAATACACTTTTCTTCTCAAAAATGAAAAATGTTATTTGAAATCAACACAACTGATCTCCAAGCAGCCATGCTGATCCTGGGACACAATTTTGAATGTTGTATATTATTAGATGCTCAAATCTATTTAGGAACAGAAACAGATAAATCTCGAATATAACTCCTTTGTAATATACATCAAGCATACTACATGTATGTTTGAAAGGAATACTTTGATTTCACATCAAATATTGCCATATTACACTGCCTTTTGAAGATTTAAATGCTCATTTTTTTATTAATTTCTACAAATGCTATCCAGTTATATTTGAATTACATGATCATTATATTTAATAAGAGGTCAGAATTGTAACACACATTTTTAAGGATAACTCAGCATTTACATTAAAACTCAGTAATGTCATGTTAAAATAGACACAACGAAATAAAGAAAAATGTCCATTTTTATTCCTATCAACATCTAAAATCAAGATTTTAACCAATGGATCTACAGTAGTTCTCTTTATCATCAATATTTTAGAGAAATAGTAGTACATAAACACAGAACTATTGAAAACTTATAATTGAGAACAATTATAAACCTCACAGCGTTTGCTTAATTAATGGTTGAAATAGCACTGATATTTCTCCCGGACAATACTATCAATTTAGGTAATATATCTAATACGACAAGATTTTAGATAAAAAAAAATGCTGATCGACGCACAGGTCTTGAAATCATCAGATATAACTTTTTATTTGTCCTCAATTGACAAATACTGGCTATATAAAGTTATACATTGTATTTCAATTGATGCAAGATATTCTTAAAGGGAGCAGTCGCAGTTTTATTTTTATTTCTCTGTTAAATGAAGATCTGCAGAATGAGCAATTGGTGTGACAAAATATAACTAAAGAAACACAAGAAATTAAATTACTACTTTCTGAATCAGTAAAATCATGGTATGAACTACCATGGCTCTCACTTAATTTAATGATCAATGACATTACCCAATTCGTTTTGATACAGAACAGAAATAGTTTAAGACTATAGGTATATCGATGATCACGGGTCCATCATATGACATCCTGTATTTCAAAATAATCAATAACAGTCAAATAACACATATCAGTGGGGGTTTTTTCGGGATATGGTACATAAAAAGTTCTAAGAAGGGAAAACTGAATGAAAAGTATGCTTTTTGATATTCTAAGGACGATAGATCTTAGCAACATGATTACGTCTAAGAGAAATAATTTATCTTTGCAATTAGCGTTTGGTAAAAGAGATTGACCAAGTGATGTCACTCAGGTCCACGTCCCTCATAATTAAAAATATTCCAGTTACAAAAACATTTTTTTTTTCTTCCTTTTAGTTACAACCCTTGTCACTAAAAAGATAGATAAGTACCATGGGTTAGGAACTAGTGCTTAGTTACTAGGTTTAAAACCTGATACTACGTGATTTAAGACGAGGAAGAAAGTACAATGACCAAAAGATAATTAATTGTCTTTTTTCTTTTTCTTCTCCTTATTTGCAATTAACAAAATATGCTTAATATATTATTATGGGTTGACAAATTAAACAATTTTTTGTAATTGTTATTCGTTCCCTAAAACCTAGAATGTTTTACGGATTTGTGTTTGAAAATGAATTATTTCTGAATCGTAGTTCTTGTAGTGGCAGGTGCTCTGCTCTCCTTTGCCGGTGTTCTTTTTGTCACTGGGGTAGTGGTACAGTACCAGGAAATGTGTGTCCATGGCTTAACAACAATTATAGTTAATCGTAATGTACTTTCTGAAATTTTAGGTTTTCTTTTTATTTTAAAACGAACCAATAAAAATGAATTTAACTAGCTATCTTCTTCCACAGATTCAAAAACATAATTTAAAAATACAAAGAGCCACACGACAATATCAAATCTAACACTCATATATGTTGCTATTAACAATGGTATCCTCATCTTGAAAAGGATTTGGTATTGTGTCCGGATACCAATGTGATCGATCAAAGTTAAGTTACTCTAAGAAGCGTACATTTAATTCGTATCAATATTGTGCAACACTATGCAAAATGTTTCTGATACGGTGCGAGT